CTTCCCACTGTCGCCAAAGTGCTGCTCATAGGGGGTCATATGATTGTTGGGTTTTTCTCTGTATCTATGAAGCGCCTTGAGGCGACTTTTGTTGTCATTTGGCGCTATATAAATAAAATTGAATTGAATTGAATCTGCACCTGAACCACCCACAGTCCAACCACGTTAATCGTGTCTTCTTTGGCCTGCAGCTTCCTGCAGATTCACACATCTCTTCTTCAATATTCTGCTTGACAACACACATGGTGGGAAATGTGTGCAGTTTGGCAACAAACCCTGAAGGTCAACCAGATAATGATAACCCTGAAAATAGATCCAGTGTCTCCAGAAAGTAGCACTCACGCCGAACCACCAGCACGGTAAGAAGCGAGGCAGCGAGAGAGGATATGGACTCAACACATTTCTATTAAATATCAGTGAGTTGTGTCACCTGTTGTTTACCAATAAAATCTAACAGTGAAGAACAACAAACATCATGTAAATGTGCAAACACACACATGCACACATATGTTACATGTGTCAGTGTTAGAAAGGTCTCCCATCCAGCTCTTCATCTGTTACAGTTTCACTTTGTTCTTGTGTGGCTGCTCACACAGAGACGCTTCGTTTGTCAGCAACACAAACATCTATAGACTGTATAGCAAAGATGGACCTAACCACGTGACGTCACCACTAATTAGTGAATCCCTGAGTGTTTCTTCCAAAGCCACCATGGTTCTGGATATTTGTCTGTACAGCTGTTGTGTAACATCTGCTCTGTTATTCAATCCCTCAAAGTATTTAAGGAAAATCTGCGTTTGTCTGTCGAGTTTGCAGAAATGAGGATTTAAATATTTGGGGATATTTTGGTGGAATATCAGACATGTTGTAGGAGCCTGCTGCTCTCGTCCTCCTTCATGATAAAAGGATTCATGGATACAAACTGTGGTTCACTCACTGCCTGCTGCAGTCACTCGTGCAGCTGGGCGGAGCAGCAAACGTCCCAGATGCTCGGCTGTTTGCCAACAAAGCCCAGCTCAGTGTTTGCTTGTATAACTCTAAACCCCCCGAGCTTCTCCAACCAACCTCACCTGCATATTTCCCTCCTCCTGCCCCTCCCCCAACCCCCACCCCCAGCCCAGGTTGGTATCTTGTTGACATCAGCCGCTGATCTTCGCCCCTGCCTGCAGCACTCTCACGGCCTCTCTGATTGCAGCTGAGGAAACAGAGCCAGGCTCAGATTACTGTTTACCTTCCTGCGATGTCCCACTGCAGCACCGCTGAGGGTTTAAACTATTGGATACGTGTTTCCGAACATTCCTCGGAGTAACAACACGCTTCACTGTGACTGTCCCTGACAATGAGGGAAACCTTCAGCATGAGTCTGACCTGTGCGTCTGTGACACATGTGGAACTAAAATAAACACACATTCACAGAGGCAGATTTTTTCATCACTGTTGTTTGTGCCAAGAACTCAAGTACGAATAATCACAGCCTCCAAATGCTGTTCAGTTAAATACGTAGAGGCTAAACGTGGAGCCTCCTGTAGGCAAAACGAACAAAACTAACGAGACGTCAGGTTGGCTGTCAAACAAACTCTGTGGAAGGTTTAACACATTTGACAAAGACTGCGGCCTCGTCCTTCCAGGTTACATCAGGAATATTTTTACAGCCCATTTCAGCAGGAAAGGAAATGCTGGAAAGATCAGCGTCACCTGTGTCTCTGATTTCTATCACACACTCTGAGTGATCAGTGAAAACATGAAAGACTTATCCTGGTTTGTTAAAAACAACAACAGTCCACCTGTTTTCTACAGCTCAGCCATGTTTGTGCTTTTGCTTCATCTCCAGTATTTTAACCACACCTCACTTTTTGCTGCAGGCCTTCGAACACGTTTGTGTCATTTGCGCTCAGTCAGAGTCTAGTTTTGTTTGTCTGTGATGTAGCACTAACTCATGGCACCTGCACATCTTACTGAGTAACTTCTTAACCAAATCCACCCACTTCTGGTGGAGCCTATCCCAGCTATCTTAGGGCGAGAGGCAGGGTACACAATGGTCACCAGTAGAGTCACCAGTGACTCAGAAATCAATGCAATTAGTGGTGGTGCTCCAACATACACACTCACAGACACACACACGTGTAACATACTGCGGATGGGACCGATTTTGTTGCTCATGGCGTAGCGGATGAGGTGGTTGTTAGCGTCAAACATCACAAAGATTTGGTCGACACTGAGCTGCTGGGTGGTCAGCGTTGCCCCCGCCCACCCAGCCTCATCATAGGGGCAGGTCTGAAAGACGATGGTCTGACGCCACTGGTAGCTTCTAGTCTGGACATCTCCATCAGGAGAGGTGATGGTGTAGTTGCGGCTGGAGGAGGAGATGATGACTAGAAGGAGGAGAAGAAATACGTTAGCATTGAGCTTCAGTGGGACAGGAAATGGATCTTTTGGCTGATTTGGCTGAACTATTTACACAGAAAGATTGAAAACAGAAAAACGGACGGTTGGACCCTCACTGCGCGATGAGCTTAGTGTCAGAGCTGTTGCTTACAATTTCTGTTGTACTGGTAAATCTCCTTGTATGGCTCGATCTGGACGGTGGAGCCTAACGGGACAGCCGGCAGACGTCCATCCAGGTCTGTGCTCATCACCAGGTGGTCGTGTTCATCGATGCCTTTAAACTCTTGCTTGATGGTCAGACGCTCGTTGCCTGGCTGGAAGACCACCTCGGCCTGTCGGGAAAACACCCCGCCTACGGGAACGTGAAAACACACGGGAAGAGGAACAACCGTCACAGGCTGCTGTGTAAGAGGGTGGATGAAGAAACTCCAGGAGATGGATGAGCAGTGACCAGCCACTTTATAAGGTACACCTGCTCAAATGCTTGTTAATGCAAATATCTAACCGTCCATCATGACAACAATTCAATGCATTTAGACAAAGACAACCTGCTGAGTGCAAAGTGCATTAAGTGCAAACTGAGTGTCAGAATGAAGAAGACTGTCTGATGTCTGATTTTGGACTTTCTGCATCAGTAACAACCATGATACCCCCAACATTACAGTTACAGTATTTAACTGTTCCCAGGCTCTACAGGCACAGAGTCTTTGCAGTTTTGTGAGCACATGAGGGACAAATTGATGCAGCTTTACACAACAATCATCATCAACCTGCACCCTTACCAATGAGACTGAATCCATTCTCGTAGCCGGGCTGTTCCAAGGCAAAGGCCCAGCCGATGACCCCCCCCAGTGAGGACAGGAGCTGCAGGGAGGGCCCCACGCTGTCGGGGATGTTGCTGATGGCCACATAGGCCCGTCCATCATTGGCTACCACGTATGAGTGCAAATCATTGTTACTGAGCCTTACCGGTGAAGGTAAGTTTCCCACAAACACTTGGCCGTTCACTTTTCCATTCATCCTCTGGGGTTTGCCTGAAAAACAACTTCTCCATTAAATCGTTTTATTGTTTCTTTTATCTTCAGTCATTCCTACGAAACATCCTGATAAATATAGACAAATGGAATAATATTTACATGACATTTACCAAGTTTTAATGCTTTTAAAGAAGCTTTAATAGAAGAAAAACCCCAAGTTTGGATAGTTTTGACTACACTGTCTTACACAATAAGAAATGATCAAAGCTGCTTTCCTGTTATTAAAATAATCCATAGCTTCACTGATAAGGAACTTCTTACCTTCTGCCACACAGTCCTTCCCATTCCCATAATAACCAGGCCTGCAGTGGCAGCAGTACCCCCTGCTGTGATCTCGGCAGTCAGCAGAAGCTGAGCATTTGTGCCTGTTGTGGGCACACGTCTCCGGATTGTATGCAAACACTGTGAAAGGAACAAAAGAAGGCAGGCCGGGTGGCTTCAGAATGAAACTATGACAATCTCACCCAAAGAAAAATCAAACGTCCTGTTATTGAAATCTACCGTTCACATCCAAATCTTCATCGACCACAACGATCTGAGGATGCTGTGGAGCTGAACGCGGCGGTGCTGCTACGTGCCGCTGTCGCAGCTCCGGCTCCTCTGTCGTGTATCTGGGTTCGCTGGGCGCGGCAGTGGTGTGTGTTGGTTGCAAAGTCTCAGAGGTGATGTATCTGGTTTCAGGCTCATGCTGCTCAGTTGGATGTATTCGTTGAATTGTCCCAGTGCTGGTGGGTGCTGGTGCAATAGTGTCTGATTCCACAAAGTGTGGCTCCTGAGCTTTCAGCGTTGTGTTTCCTGGTGTGACGGTTTCTGGATAACCGGTTTGGAAGCTGCTGGGGGTCTCAGATGGCTGCTCATGCTTTTCCTCTGGTACTGTTCCAGCTGTCTTTATCCCCTGGGTTGTATAGGTGAAGAAGTCCACCCCCACATGATTATCAGTCTGTGTTGGTAACATGGTCACAGGAGGCTCAGTAACACCCTCATTCTCAGGAGAGCGAGTCACTTTCCCCGGTTCGATCTCAACGAAGAACGGGGAGGATCCAATCTTGTACACCCAAACTCCACTCTGTGCTGCGTTGGTCTTTCTGGTTGGAGAAAGAACAACATGAAATGTTTCTAAAGTGGACGACAGTGAGAATCAAACTCATGAAGTGGAAACTAGAAATGACACACAGCATTTCTAAGATGTGTTGTCGCAAAAAGAATGGTGAGCCTCTCCAGTCAGTCCAGAGCTGCAGCAAGGCTTTCAACAAAGACATGAAAGAGAGAGACCAGTGTTACTCATTACACTGGCTCCCAGTACATGTCAGAATTCATTTTAAATCTGACGCTCCTGCCCATATCTCTGATCTCACGCTCCCTCTCGCAGCCTGAGATCATCTAAGGCTGTTGGTAGTTCCCCGAACACGTTTTAAAACCAGGTTTGTTTTTTTGGGGGGTTGGCCCCGGTTTTCCTTCCTTTTTTCGTTTGCTTGGTTTTTTTTTTTTTTTTTAATTATTTTTAGGCTTCTTTTTTTGGGCTGGGTTTTTATTCGGTTTTTTGTTTTTTTTTTGTTTTTGTTTTTTTTTTTTTTTTTGAGGCCTTTTTTCTTTTGAGGGTTGTTTTCCAATCCAGTAAAGTAAAGTAAGTGTATTTCAGAACTTCATTACAAGGACTATTGGAGCTTTGATTTTGCTTAAATAAAGTCTACAGCTCTGTGATGCTCAATCATCAGTCAAATGGATTCTGTTCACGTCACTCTCATCGTTCCTTCAGTGCTGCTGGTTTCAGTCATTGTGCAGATGTTTATATGGTTGGAAACCTGCAGTCAGCTGATGATGATGAAACGTTTCTCCTACTGAAAACGTCCACATGAAAAGAATCAACCTTTTGCTCTCTTCTTCATTTTATTTCATTAAAAATATGAGCTTCTATCGGCCTCGACACATCGACGGGGTAGAGTCATCACGCTGGCGGGCGCGACATGCAACTTTGTGATAATTCAAGAAAGAGGCAATCCAGATGCTTGACACTGATACCACAGGTGCATCTACTAAATGTCTCGGAAGATGAATCTCAGTGACATCATCCTCAGGGTCAGAGGTCGCCAGTATTTTTAAATATGATTTCATTGATTATTGAAAAAAAACAACTGATCCAAACCATCTTGGCTCTGTGTGAAAAAGTAACGGGCAGAACATCATCTGCAGAAATGTAGGCTTTCCTTACTGTTGTCAAGGTCAAAGTTCAACAAGAAGAAAGAGACTGGGAAAGATGGCATCCATTACTGAGGAGAAGACCACTGCTCTTGATTATCTCCCAAATGTTTGGGTAAATATGTGGACTGACAAGACAGAAGCCAAACTTTCTGGCAGGCTTGTGTCCGGTTACATCTGCTCCAAAACTAACAGCATTTCCTGAAAAGCTCATCATACCAACAGCGTGATGGTCTGGGGCTGCCTGCTGCTCAGGACCTGCTGTCATTGATGAATTCTGCTCTCTGCCAGAAAGTCTTGATGGAAAACATCCGACCATCGTTTACCGAAGCTCGAGCACATTTGGGTTTTGCAACAATGATGCAAAACACAGCAGCAAGTCCCCGCGTGAGTGGCTCCAAACAAAAAAAACTCAAAATGAAGGTGTTGAAGAGGCCTGATGAACGTCTGGACTTAAATCAGAGTGAGATGCTGTGCTATGACCGTAAACAGACCGTGCTGTTCAAACAATCCTGCAAAGAGTGGACTAATGATGCTTCAGATTAAGGCGCCACAGCCATGATTCCTTTTTCACACAGAGTAGGTTTGGGCAGCTTCTTTAACAGGACTTTACTCCGTTTTTTTTTGTCAAACATTAAAACTTGTTTGTTCTGAAACATTAAAGTGACAAATACACCAGGAAGGGAGCGAACGCTTTATCACAGCACCATGTACAAACACAGACTTCATCTTTTCAGTGCCACTATAGAACAAACGTCAGCAGCGGTCATACTTGGTAAGTTGTCTGATGGAGGCCTCGTCATCAGAGGTAAGGTTGAAGTACAGCCCCTGTTTTTGCCAGAACCAGCCCACCAGGCCTTCATTGAAGCAAGACTCGAGCAGCTTTCTTTCTCCTCCTATTGATGTGTAGAGAAACTGCAGGCCGTTCCTGGGGTACAAGAGGATGGCCCAGGCAGATGATGCTGTGTAGGCTACAACCAGCTGGAAGGTGATTCTCTGAAAGTGCAAAATCACGTTTTTAAGAAGAAGTTCCCATTTGTATCCACACCACTGCTTATTTCTCATTCTGGGTGGGTTTGTGTGTGTTTTTTCTCACTGTGTGTTTATACACCACTCTACATTTAATCATCACTTATATTCCACACCACGTCTTGTCTCCCATCATGGCCCCGCCCCTCCCTGAGCATGGAGGTTTCTTCCTGTTAAAAGGGAGTTTTTCCTTCCCACTGTCTCCAAAGTGCTGCTCATAGGGGGTCATATGATTGTTGGGTTTTCTCTGTATGTGTTACTGTAGGGTCGACCTTACAATATAAAGCGCCCTGAGGCGACTGTTGGTAGAGTGAGCGTTTATGCCGTAGAACTAAAAAATAATCTGTTTTTCTGCACTAGGGAAAATACATTCAGAATAAATTAGTAAATAAAAGTATATAATATATATAAAAATAAATACATACTATCTAATTGAGAGAAATTGAAATCCTGACCTTAGTGTCCAGTTGGTCTCCTCGTCCAGGTGTCCCCTGGGCAGCCATGTTCTCCCAGGTAACAATGAAGGTGTTGGTGGGCTTCTCTACCTTACCATCTGGGAAACCCTGCCTGATGTGGTCAGCGGCTCGACCCAGGATATTGGGGGTGCTGTCGTGCCTGAAGTACACCTTGCCTTGTCCGTCACTGTTGTCCAGGTCTCCCAGAAGGACTGCAATCATTTTAAACTCACTGGGCATCTTCCCCAGGTATTTCTCCTCAGCAGGAGGCTCGGCAACAGCCACAAACCCATTGGTGTTGATCTGAAACAGGATCAGGTTCTTTGGTTAATGAACAGACACCTCATATTTCATGTGAACTCAGTGCATTTATGCACCTCAGATTTTAGTAATTGTGAGAATGAATCGTTTCATTTCAAGGTTAAATGTTTTCACTGATGACCAATCTGGACATTTCCCACAATCCTGAGGTCTGAACTATAAATGTGGTCCAGTACTGTCTGATTACATTTCATGAGGCAGTAGCTGACGTGAGATAAAGTGAGGACTGTTGATGCTCCGTCATTATCATAAGTTTCTCAAAGCTAAGACAAACAAACCCTACAGTTATTCTAAGAATGATAACTTGGGATTATTTAAATGAATGATTTGCTTATTCAGCACAAACTGTGAGCAGAGTGCACAAAGTTCTTACTGCTATTCTGCGCTCTGTCAGCTCCAGGAATTCCAAACAAATCATTCCCTCACTCAGAAAAGAAAGATCTCTTTAAGCTGGGCAGACACTGTCGCGTTATTCAGCTTCTGCTCAAACTGTACGATTGACTCGCAGGGGTGAGAAGTTCATAGGTCATGATGCAGGTCTCACACTATACAGCCCGATGCTCTGATGCGACCCGAGTGCTCACACTGTGCCTCCATAACATGAAGGGTATAACAGAAAATCTGTCTCTCACTCACACAGACACATCACCACCATCAACTTTGCTAAATTACTAATGAAAAACATTGATCAGGCAGCTGTGATTGAGCAGCAGTGTAAATCCAACTATTTTCACGGTTGTTGTGGTCGTGATGATTTTGTGAGGTCACATCGAAAAGGCTCGGATGAGCTTTCCAAAGTCCTACAAGTTGTGCCTCCATCGCTTGTATCCAGATCACACGCTGCACTGCTGCTCCGTCTTTTTCACCGGCATTTATGTGTTTGCGCGTGCGCAGTGTGAGAAGCTGCAGTGACAGCCTCACGACGGTCCTCACGACCAAGCGATTGATGATCGGGAGCTGGTCGTGAGGTGTTAATCGCTTCTCGTTACCCCACGTATACTACATGATGCACGACACACGATGAAGGCCAAAATCGGCCAATCACCAAAACGGTCCCACGACTGAAAAATCGGCTCAAAATGGGCCAGAAATCGCAGAGTGTCTGCCCAGCATTAGCCCAGCTTAAGCCCAGCATTAGCCTGGCTTAAGCCCAGCATTAGCCCGGCTTAAGACCAGTTTAAGCCCAGCATTAGCCCAGCATTAGCCCAGCATTAGCCCAATTTAAACCCAGCATTAGCCCAGCAT